CACCAAGTCACCAACTTCTTATATGATCTGTACCTCCGATCGTCTCTAGTGAAGATAATTAATGCAAGCCACTGGCAACACCAAAGGACCTACTCAGTATTATTTGAGCTAGTATCGTCAGTATCTGATTCCAACCCCGAGGTGACACGTCGATCGAACTCTGCAATGAGATCTTCGATGCGTTCTGTGCGGCAAACAAGTCTCCGAATTAGCCGGCCCTCGGTATTATGAGGTTCACTATGCAATGAAATAGCTCTTCAAGGGGTGCTGAAATACTGGATGATTGCACACTCACTTTCTCTCTGCCACAGGCTGTTTGCGAAGTTCGGCGTTTTGGGCCTCTAAGACAGCCAGCTGCCTTTTCAAGGAAGCCACTTGAGAAGGTGGGTCATTGTCAGTGGAGCTACCTTGCGACATCTGGAGTGGAATTTGGGTAGGAACGGAACATGTGAAGGTGCGAGAGTACCAGCCTGACTGAAATACTACAGGGATCATCAAACACTTTGATCTGAATCATGCAGAAATTGACCTACTAACCGCATATGGGCAGGCCAACGGGGGTTGAAGCGCTGACAGTTATCGGTAGATCAGGTAATCCCAAAGTGGCTGCTCGTCCCGGATCTATGTCATAGGTCATGGTGGCAAACCGTCGACTGTAGTCCCTGCCAGGCTATTAGTATTGTATGACGTAACCAGTTTGTAATATACCCATGCCAGTCTTCGTATGAACACTCGCCGATACTGGCAAATCGCCTGTTCTTGATCTTCGTCGGACTGTCTACTATGTGCCAAACTACATTCTTGGCATGAAGTGTCACGGTACGGCATGAATCATTGATCTGTTGATGGAACACCTGACCTCCAATAGGAATGGTGTTTTAGCTAAAGTCATCTCCGCTGCCCACTGGTGCCGAGCCTCAGGTGTTTAAGTTCTATTGGAGTTCTATGCAATGTAGGAAGTTGCAAGTTCCGAACCTTCTGACCCTGACACTTTTTTTTTGTTTATTCAAGTTGTCCGATACCTCCTCTTGGAGTCACCGTGACGTACCATAACGACTTGGATCAGATGTGCTGGTGACTCGGCCGGCGAACTGTAACACAGTTGCTGTAAGTCCGTTCCATTGACCTATTGTGTCAAACTCCCTCTCACATACACGTTGAAGCTTTAGTGTATGGCCCTCTTCAATGGTGTACACTACGCCCTTTCATCTTCAATACAACCGGGACGACACAAGGAACTCTCAGCCTTGCTAGATCTTCACGGTGCAATGAGCGCACCACCACCCACTCATATTATTGCGCTTGCTGGATCGCACATTCAGGGTGAATACGAAGGATCTCTGCATGTAGTGTCAGACATGTGGGTACAACGGTGCGTAGTCCTTGGAAAACGTCAACCATGAGTCTCCTCTACCTTTCACTTCAGTACGAAGGCATTGATGGTCAATATGTCAGCGAGCGGTACTATTCACCTGATCCAATCATGATTTTTTCAGGTGTTGTTGCATGCGCCACTGATGTGAGTGAATTGTCCTTGATCACATTATATGATATTGATGTTGATTACAAGCTCTCCCAATGGGACCTTGAAGTTCTGTCAGCCGGCATCACCTCATTAGGAGGGCAGTGGCGAACAGCCCTTACTCGAGATGTGACCCATCTCTTCGCATTGCATAAGCAGAGCAATAAGGTACTCACTCTCTTGTTTCATTGACTATGGGACCATTGTTCACTGCGCTAACCCTCATGGCATAGTACCAAACTGCAATGTATTTTGCACCATATACCGGCATGTCCATCCTTACACCACATTGGTTCGACGATTCAGTCCAACTTGGGTGTTGTGTCCCTGAGATTCCTTATTTATGGCCCGATCCTGAGGTCTTGGCTCGGTGACATAGTAGTGTACTATAGGTTACGATGGGCTATGATTGCAGAGGCGAAGGGGACACTATCCGGTAGTAACGAATGAGTATCTGACCTTGTAGAATACCTATAAAATATTACAGCCTTGATTTTCGCTGCTTGATTGAATGATCGAAACATACCAGATTCTAGTCCTGTTCACCGTGACGTACTACCATTTACAGAAAAACATAAGCAGCCTACCTATCCTGTACCACAGTTTCTGCATACTCATCATCTTTTGAAGCATGCCCGCGCTAAGTGCGTGATATGATTTTCAGACTTAAATTGCATACAATACTAGAAATGCATGTACAGTATGATTTCAAATTGTGAAACTGCGATCCTTTGAAGCTCCAATGATTCAGATAGACGTCACGAGCATATGTATAAGTACAATGTTACACAATTCAGTAATTTACTGTAGAAGCTGATGATCAATGTACATGCAAAGGTAATGAAGCGAATGCATACCATTCAAGAGTGTTAAGACCATGCACAAAGGGTAGGACTGATTCTGAGGGGCTTGGCTTCAGCTCGTGCGCTGCGCCCCTTACCCAAGTATGTGCCCTTAATTTCAGATTGGTGTCTGAGGAAAGTCCGAAGACGTCCAAAGGACATCCGAAGGCGCGGGAAACTTCGGAAGGACTTTCCGGACGGGTGCAAGTAACTTCCGGATGAGTGCGGGAAAGTTCCGGAAATTACGATGAGGTTTCGTCCTGATACAGATATGTATAATGGCTACTCGGGACTTGTCCTGAGTAGAAGTAAACAGAGGAAAGGCTGCAAGGACAAAGTCCGAAGCGGAATAGGTCCGGAGGACTGCGGGAAAGTTCCGGGTGAACTTCCAGAACTTCGGATGAGCGGAGGAGCAGAGGAGCGGAGGAGCGGAGCTCTGGCCTAGGGAGAAACTCCCTAGGCCTGAGATGGATATCAACTAAATTGGAAGACTAGAACTGATATGAGGACTTAGAGTGAAGACTAGTGCGAGGACTAATATGATATTCAGACTGAGGTACTACAAGACATATACGTGAGTTTATATACTAAGAGAAATAACGGAAGGATCAATAAGCAGAGTCCGAGGCTATGTATGAAGCATATGCAAAGGTTGACAAACGCGAGTCGGAAATGAACATAGGTTAACGGATCAGTAAGCATACCGGTAATAGATATAACCGAGGTACCGGTAACAAGGAATACCGGATAGGCTGTGTTAACGTTATATGCACAGGAAATGAATTATGAAGCTTATCGTATATCGGATCGGAAGCGGATCTATACATCGGATCGGACCGGATCGGATATGGTCCGGATGAGATGCGTGGATATATAGGATGTGGCATTAGGGCGATGGGACAAGGATGAATGATGCAGACTAGCTGCGAAGAATAAGGGATCTGGACGTGGACATGCGGATGTGGATGTGCAGAGGTGCAGGGATCCGGATGGGTACTGGAGACATGGATAGGACATCCGAAGGTCCGGATGAGGCGTGGGAATATTATCGGATGTAGGTCCGGAATACGGGATATGACAAAGAGGAAGAGCCTCTGACAGGTTATTTTGCTTTCTTATTTCGTGCATTGAGAGGACCAGTGTTGAGATGGTGGCGCTTGAAGGGATTGATTGGCATGGCTGCAGGTGGAGACAGGACGGTGAGTTGTCGTAAAATAGCATTGAAAACATCACATTTTGCATTCTTGACTCGATGATGAAAAAACGCCATGTGCACTTCAACAAGTGCGCCCTTAAGTTTTGACTCGTATTCAAGTGGTGGGATGAGGCTATGATCCGTGTCGTATGCTGGTAGGGGGCAAACATTGTGGGTAGATCTGAGGTCTTGCAAATGTCCTTTGCATCGGTCAGCCACTGGCCAAGTGGCAATGTCGAAGTCTGAGCTTAAGCTGTCTGTAGTTGCGAACGTAAAACAATTAGTATAATGATGGATGCCAAAAAAATATTTGTAGCTTACTGGTTGAGCAGTCATCATCTTCGTCACTGGCAGTATCATATTTATCCTGATTCTTGGCCTGATATGTGATATTCAACTGTTAGGGAAAGGAAATAGATGACGGCTACTGACCTCAAATAGACCATGTATCAGTCTGATTGATCTTTGACCGAGTGAGACATGAACAGCGCTGAGCTTCTCGTAATCCCTCTCCCTTGGAATTAATCCCTCAAAGTGAGCAATATTGTCAAGGACATCCGGGAAGTCTTCTGAAGAGAATCGGAACATGTCGTTACGACCAGCAGTAAGCCGACAGCTCAATTTTATGTCTGAAAAGTGACCATGAAAGACGTTTGATGGATTGAAATTGGCATCCGGGGTGAAATTGAAGTCATTGCGACTGATCTCGAATACACCACAAATGATGAATTCTTTAGCTTGGGGTCCTCCCTTGGTGACGAGAATGTTGCCATCCTGTCCTCCTATGAAATATTCAACATGCCGAATCAGTCTCGGTGAAGCGGCATAGAATCCGAATCCTTCGGAGGAATCGTGTAGTTCTCGGAGTATGGATGCAGGAGTACGAGTAGAGAATGACTTGGACTTGGTGGATGCATTCTTGGTCAGACTTGAAGCCATGGCTTGTGACCTGGATACGATGTGGCCTGGTAGAGTCTTGTTAGGTTTTAAAAATCATGCTCCGTGCAGGGATACAATGCAGCCTAGTTAGAAGAAATCAAAATCATGCTCCGTGCAGGGATACAAACATTGAAAATGGCAGAACGAAAGTAGTATCCCCAGTGAAGGTAAAGCTTGCGAGACATGTAGTACGTTGTAGTGGTCATGGGATCTAGTATACGTAATGACTCATCTGCAAAATTATCGGCAACTGCATTGAGGATAGTAAAACTGGAATCGATCGTGACACAGTCTACAGTGCAGGCCAGGTGACCCTCAGGCTAGTACGAGTTTAGTAGTTGGCATCAGAGTGAAGCGGCGGTACTGAAAATGAGACAAAGGTCACAGAATGTTCCGAGTTTTGAAACGGCCCAGGCACAAGCCATACCTCATGGAGTACTGCCCCTGTAAGGTCCAGGGAGTACGATTCAAATACACCTGCTTTCAAAGAAGGATTCCAGCCATGAACATGTCGACATTTGATTCCTGCCCCTCCAAGTCGGATTTTAATGATGCAGTTGGCAAGGCGCTCTTGATGACTCGGAATTCTGGCAGCATTACTCTGTCAAGCCATGCCGAGAACTGCAAAGAGGGAGCAGGATTTGGGCAAGGTTGCCCTACCTATTCTTGTGGATGTTATGACTACCGTAAATTGCCACGTTATCAGGCTGGAGCTACAGACCTACTAGACAAGGCCTCTGACTTAGATGCTGCGGACAAGGACTCGAAGGCATCCAAACTCAAACTGGTATGTGATCAGATCAAACATATATACTAGTTCGTCTTATCACACTCATTTGTAGGATATTGATATTTGGAAATCTCAGTGTTCAAATCAGCTGCTGCTTACTCCGACTCACTGGAAGAGAAAGCATGCTGGGTCTGACGTCATTGAAGGACACACTCAGGCTGTCACAGTAAGTCATATTTCTTAGTCCTCCGATACTGACAAGTTACAACTTGAACTGACTGTATACAGCCTCAGTGTTACTTTGGCCATGATATTTTGAATGGTCCCGGTCAGCGGGGGACGTCAGTGCCAGCCCTGCCAATATCGGAAGCCGCACCACAGAAGCGGAGGAAGTTAGTACCTGAGTTTGAAGCTCCGAGTCTACTATCCGTAGCTGAGGCACTGCTGAAAGTTGCAGGAGGGATCGAGGCAGCAATCGATAGGCAAACAAACCTGCTTTCTTTGATCCTGAATGCTATGGAAAGTCAAGGTAGTACTAGTGAGACATAGATCTTTCCAACTGTTTTACATAGTACATGGAAGTTGTAGTAATGGTACAGAAAAAAAGACGGCTGCGGTACGTAAAGAAACACAAGGCGTAAAACAACAGTAGTGTGCGAGTCACGTACGACGACAAGCTTTGATGAGAAACACAATGAAAATCCATTCCAGTATACAGCATGATACTAGAATACACGATGCAAGAACTTGAGAGCGCTGTTTAGTGAATGTCAGTCTAGAGTTTGTCAAATAAAACTAGTACTTACCACGTCATGAACGTTTAGCCCTCTTGGAGGCTCTGGGAGAGATCTCTGCCTCTTCAGCGGTGCGCTTGATCAATTTCTCGTGGTAGGTGGAGTAATGCGTATAGCCCGTCTGCCATGCAGCGTTCCGCAACTGCTTCATGATTGCCTTCCAGTCTATAGGCGACGTTGGAGGCACCCATGCACGAACGAGCTCGAAGGGGTCAGGGCTAGGAGATGCGATTAAGTATATATCACAATTATTAAACTTAAAACTAACCTGTCATCGGTCTCCTCTGAGGATACCTCTGCAATGTCCGATTTATCTTCAACGCTGGACTCATCTTCAGCGTCAAAGTTGTCGGACGAAACACTGGACTCCTCTTCCGCCATGACTTCTTCCATGTAGCTGATGGTGGCGTCCCTGAGACTCGCAAATGTGCGATGGAATAGGTGCTGCAGGTTTTCGAGGCCTGTGACGTCTGTGTCAGGACACAATCACTGTCATTGTGATCAGATACGGCTACACCTGAAGAGGGAGGGAAACTCACGGCAGTTGCGAAGTATCGTGGATTATGGTCATAGAGATCAAATGGCCCGTCATCAGGACAGAGCCAAGTCGAAACAACGACAGTGAGGGATGACACCCAAGTGTGGGTAAAGCCTGTGACTGGGCCAAAGACTGGCGAATCGTCCTTCTGAAGCCATTTGTGGTACGAGACGACCTTCTTCTTCTTCGACAGTTTTCTGAAGGCATCCGATGATTCTGTTGGTGGAGAGTGGCGGTGATTTTCCAGGATATCGAATAGTGTTACAGCTCGCATGTGTGGGTTGAGGGTGACGGAACGTTGGAGTTTGGCGATAGCAGCATCGCGAGTCTGTGAGAAGGTAACCTCAGTCCCCCAAAGCTGCACACGCCCTCCGTCTTCATCATGGAACTCAAGCAACGCGTCAGGGGTACCAAGGGATTTCTCTGTGGACCCCGCCTCTCCCAACCCCCTGAGGGTCGAGTTCATCTGGACTATAAAGTTACCGAGCCCCTCGATGTCAAGCGATGCGAGAGCACCATCGATAGCATCTCGCAACGGCTTGAGGAGATTCTCGTGTATTGGAGTAGGCAGGGTTGCGACCAGCTGTTTAGACGATGGGGAATATGATATCCTGAAAGAAAGAGTCATTAGCGGTTATCGGATTCTCACACACAACTTGTATCGATTAAATTGATGATTATCATCTTCGGTGATGGCCTCCAAAATCAAATCGCAATCATCGATGGACACGTCAGAAAAGGTCTTGAGAATGAGTCAGCATGCGAGATTATCGTGGGAGACAATGCCTCAAGGCCTCGTACCTTGTAATCAGTGTCGGTGCTCTCAGCCTGTCCTTCTCCTCTGAGAAAAGCGATAATCTGCCCGCACAAAACTTTCACGAAAGCTCAACCCAGATATCAATGGCCAAAGAGAAAAACTGACCATCTTTTTTGGGAATCTCAGGTTCTTGCTCTTTCACCAAGGGCGGTTCAATGTGAAAACCATAGAGTTTTTGGTGCAATGTAGCTGGTTTTGAAGTCAAAACTGCCGCAGCCACATGGGTTCCAGTAACCTGTTTGACGAGCCGAGGGCGACTTGTTCCTAGAGAGGTCCCTTTGCATTTCATTGTGGTTTTTCTTGTCTGGCAGCCATTGCTCTGGACTCGGCGTGATAAGGGAGGAGGCATGGCACAGTGCTTGATGTGGCACTATGGTCACCTATGCTTATATATAAATACGAGGCCTAAGAGCTCCGAGCCTTATCCATGATTGCGGGGGCTGTCCTGGGCTGTCATTGGTCAACAAAGACAACAGTTGTCACAATCGGCATTTTCCACCCACAATTTCATTTGCAAGTGTGCATAGTGAGTAAGTAGTAAGTACACTAATAGTGTTTGTATTGTGATTCTGTCATGGAAATGGTACTCAAGTCTTTTTCAGTGACTTTATGATACATTAAAGTTACAGGTGGCAAGATACCATAGTTATTTTACTTTTGTGAATGAAAAGAAGATCCATCTTGGTGATACAACCACCCCAATTGCTGTAGAACCTTTGCATGCCCAGGGTTGTCAGCAACAACACGTTCATATGCATTCTGAAACTTCTCAGTCAAGCTGGGGTGGCTATGTCAGGGTCCAAGCCCGACTTCTACCAGATCATCCATTAGCATAGTCACCAGCAGCCATCACGCTCTGCTTTCTCTACCACTACTACACATGAGAGTTCATTTACTACTGGCCAATATACTGTTACTTCTCATTATTTTGATGGCTGAGCATTTCAAGTGCCATGAGAAGTGCGGACGGACTTTTTCAGCACCAGGAGGCCTGACCCGCCACCGCAAAAGTTGCTCTCACTGGCAGCAGCAATTAGATCGACAATCCATGCATTTCAAATGTGGCTCAGGTGGCATGCAAGGATATGCGATGAAGAAAGTAAAGCTCAGCACTACTACAACAGCGGCAGTAAGTCTTTTTACTTACCCTACCTAATCTTTATTCAATCAGACTAGGATATCTCAACCTCAGGCGTGCAGCTGGTGCCCGCTCCGACTCAGGCTGCAGCAGCTGCATCTTCAAGTTCTAATGGCTTTTTGGGGGCCACGTCTGCTTCCAGTAGCAGTTGCGATTACACAGCTCCGGTTCTTCAGCCATCAACAGAACTTCCGGAGCCTAGCATTTTGCATGAGCAGCCTGAACCATCTATACCAATTTCTACTCCTAATTTACATGATAACCGCCCTACTCGCTCTCGCCGGTTACCTATGCGATTTAGAGACGAGCTTCCAGTGCCGCCGCCTGCAATCCCACAGCCCCCTCCTTCTACTCTTCCCCGAGTTATTCTCCACATATTCGATTCTTTCCGGACAACCATAAACGAATTTGGCATTGGACGAGAGTATCATCATCGACCAACACACAATCCTGATGCATTCGTTTCTGTGGATCAGCTATCCAATGTCTATCCCAGTTCAAGTCCAAACGCTGAGCTGTCTAGTAGTCCCGAGGTGGCATCTTCCTCGAAGCCTCCCCCTTGGCCGTGGAAAAATATGAGTGTCTGGCGCCTCATGACTTGGATGCTGACCGGAAGCAACCAAACATCCCATGCTCAAGCCACTCGGCTGGTCAAGGAAGTCCTATCAGCTGAAGATTTCCGAATTGATGATGTAAAGGGCTTCAATGCCCAAACTGAAATGTGGCATTTGGATTCTTCAGAAGCCCAACTTAACGACAATGATATATACCGAAGGGACGGGTGGAAAGAAATAGCTGCAGAGATTCTAGTACCGACCCGGGAGAAGAATCCCGATGGAAATGGGCAGCCCTTTACGATCCCTGGATTCCAGTACCAGCCCCTTATAGCTGTCATTCATGCCGCTTTCTCAGAGGCAACATCTAAATGGTTTCATTTCACTCCCTTCAAGTGCTTTTGGAAGTCTCCTGTGACTGGTCAAGAGCAATGTCTTCATGATGAGCTCTATACATCAGACGCGTGGATTAAGGCTCACGATGACCTGCAGAAGCAAAGATGAGACGATGGCTGCAAGCTTGAGAAAGTCATTGCTGGACTCATGTTTTGGTCGGATTCTACACACTTAGCGCAGTTTGGGAACGCATCAGCATGGCCAGTTTACTTATACTTCGGAAACCAATCCAAATACATCCGTTCCTGCCCCACTTCTGGTGCATGCCACCTTGTGGCGCTCATTCCCAGCGTAAGTGTACCTATACATACTAGTATCGTTGTGCTAATGGTCGACAACTTGTCCTTGGCAGCTTCCAGAATCCATCAAACGATTTATTGCGACGATTATCTCGATTAAAAGGAAGAGTTACCATGACATTCTTACCCACTGCAAGCGCGAGATGTTTCATGCTATCTGGCGTATTTTAATAGATGACGACTTTCTTGATGCATACAGAAATGGCATCGTAATCAAGTGTCATGATGGGGTATACCGCTGAGTATTTCCTAGAATATTTACCTACTCTGCAGATTACCCTGAAAAGTGCGTAGAATGTGTGCTTCTCACCCTGTTTCTGCTAATAAGACCTTGAAGAGTTCTCATTGCAGCAATTCGCGACAAGGGTGTGTGTCCCTGTCCTAAGTGCCTGCTTCCAAAATCATGTTTTGGTCGGATCGGACTTCGTTCTGATGTGTTGGGAAGAGTTGCAAGAGTGCATAGATTTATCAAAGATGCTGTTGTCGCTGCACGCAATGCCATCTACAAATTAGGCACCCCAATCAAGGGTGCTGCTGTCGAACGTCTTCTAAAAGGGTTCTCACTTGTGCCCACCCTTGTAAGCATATCTCGTCTTTATCCTACTTGGTCTTTATTTCACCTCACCTACAGAACACCTTTGCTGAGCGATTGGGCCCTCTCAGCTTTGACTGCTTTTCAATGCTTGTTGTCGACCTTTTACACGAGTTCGAGCTGGGTGTATTCAAATCTGTGTTCAAACACCTTATCAGGCTACTTTACGCTATAAACCCTGAATGGGTAGGTGTCTTGAACGAACGGTAAGACATCTGACTGTTATGAGGGCTGCAGGTTCTGATGTGGATACTGCAACCCATAGCTTTCGCTTGATCCCTTCCTTTAGCAAGGGCGCTATTCGGCACTTTCCAACCAACGTAGCTGATGTCCGGCAAAATGTTGCAAGGCACTTTGAAGACATTTTACAAGTTAGCCAGGCAGTCTTCACGGATTCCAACACTGACCTGCTTCCTCTTTC